CTGTGGGTGGGTGGTAGTGGGTGGGCGGGTGGGTGGGTGGGTGGGTGGGTGGTAGTGGGTGGGTGGGTGGTAGTGGGTGTCTGCCTTCCACACCCTGAAGGTTACCCGCGTGTCCCGTGTGTTTGTTTTTGGTCTGGGGTGGAAGAGCGGCGTCCCGTGCTCCTTTCTGCAGCCTTGCCTTGCCTTGCCAAATTTGCCCCTTTCAACCACATACATACATACATATATGCATACGTACATGCGCGCAAACACACACGCGGGCGCACGTACAAAGCTATTCGTGCTTCATCCGGGTCCCCCGAGCTGCCCGGTGATAACTGACCACGATTGACAAATGCATGAAATATGTGGTGGGGATGCACATGATGGGCAACATTTACCGCCTCAATCAGTAAAAAAAAGCCTTAGACGATATGCCCACAATAACACCACCACCTACCCACACGCGTCTACTCGGAGGACGCCACCCCCCCGGGGCATGTGCGTGCGCACAGCTTTGGGATGACATACATACTTGCCGACATCCTTTCCGGCGGGTGCGTTCGCAGGTTCGCTGGAGCAGTGGCGGCGAAGGTGGAGGACCCCTTTGCCCGGGCGATTGCTACAACCGCGGCAAGTGCAGCGACCCCTACGACCCCGCAGCGAAAAGTACGGCATTGGGCTCGCCGGGCAAAACAATACCGGCCACGAATGAATTTCTGTGCACCTGCAACAAAGGTAAGCAGATGTGAGATGTGTTTAATTAAATAATCTGAGCCTGGGAGGCGACCGGAGCAAGGGCCTGTGCGTGTGTGTATGTGTGTGTACGTGTGTGTGTATAGCCACGGCTAGTGTAACGGCCGCCAGTACACCGTGATGGGCGGATGCGACATGTGGCGGGGCAGTGGCCTAGGCGGGAGGGAGGGGGCAGTAGAGGGCTACATCAGGAATGTTGGGACAAAAAAGGGCGATGATGCGCGGAATATGAAAGCACACACGTCTGCTTGCGTGACGTGAGGTTTTGCCCCCTTGTCTTTCATCGTGGCCTTTGCTCTGCTTGACCTCTGCTTACTACTGCCCGTGGAGGCCACAAATTAAAAACCGAAACCAGCACCCCTCCTATGTTGCTGTTACCACCCTCCTGACGGTGCAGGTAGTTGTTTCTTCTTTCATCTTGACCGCAATTCTTGGTTCAATTTTCCTCCCTCGTGACCATGTAGAGATTGGTGCAATCGAACGAGCTCCCCCCTGCCCTGCCCTCCCCAACCGCCAAACCATTTCTGTGCCGTGTAGGGTACGGCGGCCCCATGTGCGAGGGCACCATTAAGAACCTGACCCTGTCTACCTGGGGAGATTCTGGCAGCGGCTATCTAGAACCCGGGCAATGGACCTTCTTTGCGTTTTACGTGGACCCCGGCCGTTTCGACAACTCCTCGGACGATGCAATTATACAATGGGTGGTGCGCAATGTGAATGGCAGCGGCGCTAACGAGCCACTGCCCTACCGCAATGCGCTTTTGACGGTGAACAAGATGGCGTTTCCACGGCTGCCTCAGAGTTTGAACGGCTTGGGGGATCTGCTGTCGCGGGGATGGCTGGTGCGTGGTGTGGAGCGAGTGGGGTGGTGGTGGTGGGATAAATGGAGGCTCAGGGCATTTTTGCCTTTGTGTTGCTCGACTAGTTGTTAGTGCATGGATGGATGGATGGATGGATGGATAAGTAGCGGGCCATTGTTTAAGTATTCTCCTTTTTCATGTTCTTGTACTAATCGTAAAACGTATTCAGTTACCCGAGTAAGGGGGAGCCTTACATTTCTGCTTCCCGCCGTACGCCTGCCCCGTACGTGCAGGTCCGGTACGACATGTTGTTCTTGGAGGGCGGCCAGTGGAAGCCGATCAGGGTAGTTGGGAGCCTTCTGGAACCCGGTTACTCGTACGTGCTGGGTATGTACAACAGTGACTATTCACTTCAGGTACGGCACGTACGGCTGTATAAAACTGCACTATTATCTACATTCCGCACTGTGTGTGTGTGTGTGTGTGCCGTTTCTGCGCCGTTTCCCATTTTTGGACTTCAATCCTCCGAACCTCTCTCAATCACCCTTCAGCTTTATTCTTTAAAAACCCCGCGCATATTACCGCATATTCCAGTCCATGCATTTCTTTGAAATGGTTGGTCTTAAAATCCCTAATCTCCTCACTCCGCATGTCAGGGCAAGAGACAGAATATTCTTTTCAGTCCTTCATGGCCAGCGGCGTTGTAAAAACAGTTTTTCTTCTTGCATCAATTCCTTTACCCGGCACCTTGATGTCCCATGATGATGTTCTTTGCGTCCAACACACCAACAGCCGTTCCTGCGAACCCACCAAGCCTTACCCCATCCGCCCATGCCCTGTCCATTCTCTTCATTCCCTGGGGCCCCCAACCCCTGCTGCCCCGCACCCCCTCGGGCCGTTCTCTCCATCGAGGTGTAACCGCTGTCACGAACCCCCAAGAGATCTCTGTATATGTATATGATGTATATATATGTACAACTTTCGTACGTATGTACATACATATATATACAACTTCTGCTGTGTGTGTGCACGTGTGCGCGTGTGTCTGTGCCTGTGTGTGTATAACTCTCTTTTCCTATAACTCCCTGCGTGCCTTCCTTACCTCATCCCCCCCTTGCTGTTCCCGCCATCTGGCCACACGCCGTAGGCCCCCTACAACTACACCATCAGTATGTACGTCCCCACGCAAAGCCGCACCTGGTTGCACCCGTACATGTCGGTAGTGCTGGGCGTCTCTGCCTCCATCATCCTCTGCCTCATCATGACGCTGTGTCGCCGGGTGTTGCAGCGGTACGGCTGGGGGCCCTTTAGGCCGCGAGGCAGCATGTTGGACGGCGGAGGCCCGGACGGCGGGGGCAACTTGTCGCGGGTGCAGGTGAGATGTGGGTTATATATGTGACTGGGTGCCGTGTCCATGTCCTTGTCGTTGTGTGCTATACAGCGGGTACTTGTGTGCCGTACAACGCCACTGTCGAGCAATCAAGCCCATCAAGCCCATCAAGTTTTCCCTGGCTCTGGTGTGGTCCTTCTCCAAGGCGTCCTGCCTGCAGTTCCTCGCCACTTGTATTTGGGTCATGCGGGCTGCAGTGCATTCCTGTGGTGTCTGCTGTAGATTTCGCCTCATGAGAGGTCCCGGACGTCCTTTTGAAAATCCATAATGTTTTCGACCAACCCAGGTCCCCTCTCCGTCTCCTTCTCCTCCCCGTTTCATGTCTGGGCCCGCGAGTCCTTCTGGCAACCCTTGCTCCCTCCCTACCGACCCATGCGACCTGTGCGTGCTTCGTGACCCTCATTCCTCTGACCCTTGTTCCGCCCGGATCTGCTACTGTCCTGTTCTGTCCTCCCTTCTCCACTTCCTCCTCCTCCTCTCCCTGCCTCTTATCCTCCTCCCCTTCCTTAACCTTCTTTTTCTCTTCCTGGTCCTTATCCTCCTTTAGGCGGGCCAGTTGCACAGAGGTGTACCTGCCGAAATCATAGACGGCTTCCACTCGTACAAATACCGGGCGACAAGCGCGGAGAAGGCGCAGCTCGCAAAGAGCAGACCTGAACCTGAACCTCAACCAGCTCAACCATCACGACAGCCATCGCAAGCGGCACTGCAAGCTCAACTGATTGCACCCGGCAATGGCGATGCTCGACTGGAGTCGTCTCGAGGAGAGGCAGCTGGGCAGGGCGCTGTGGAGCTGGTACGAATCGGTGCACCGCCGGCGGTTGCGGGAGGAGGGGGATTAGGAAAGCCGGTGGCGACCACATCGGCAGAGGCAGCGGCAGAGATGGCACCAGCAAGTGGGAGCAACGGTGCTGCTGCTGGTGCCCATGTTGCTACGCCTGCAACTGCGGTGCCGGCGGCGGCGGCGGCTTCGGGGGGTCCATCCACGAGCAGCGGCAGCGTCGTAAGCGGTGGCGACGGCAATAGCGGCAGCGCGACTAGCGGCGCTGGCAGCGACTTGGAAGACGAGGCCCAGTGCGCAGTTTGTCTCTGCGAGTACGAGGAGGGCGAGGGTATCACGCAGTTACCGTGCAGACATGAGTTCCATGGGACGTGCATCCGCAAGTAAGGAGGGCGGGAAGTAGCGGAGTGGGGACGTCA